AGAACAATTGTTCGCCTTCGGACTTGTGTTCTGATGTAATGCGTATTGTTGTGTAACAAATTAAACTGTTTGTGCATCCGGAAACTTTTAGCCCAGCCTTCGTACACCCAAAAAAGTAAACTCATTATTTGAAATGATGTTATCAGACCGAGGAGTAGGTTGCGGATAGTCTTAAAGAATCACAAAGCTTATTTGCATTAGCCGGCCGGGAAGGGCAATCAGGAGAGTCATGTCGGTAAGGAAAAGACGATGGACAATGTCTGTTACATAAACCCTGCCCACCAAAAATAAGTAACATTGTGATACGATGGAAATGTTTGTGATAACCGACAAAAAGCACTGGACAGCTGTTTCGTCCCGTTTCGGACTCGTTAGCGGTGCGTACGTTTTGTGTCCCTGTCAGGACTCGAACCGCGAACCTTCCAGTTGGGACTTCAAAGAGAGTGCCTGGTGCCCCTGGACAATCGAATGGGTTAATCCAAGCTTAATATTCTAAAAAGTAAAATTGTGCTTTATCAACTCAAGTTATCGTGAAGTAGTCCTCAGCTGATGAAGAATTGTCAGGAAATGACGAGATGGGGGTTGTCAGAATTGGAACGCAATTTCGGGGGTCGTGTGAACACCATACTACCTGAACGCCATACCAATCATGGTGTCGTGAACCAATGCATGAGAGCCAGAAAATGATGGAAACCAAAAGAAAAATGCAAGCACTCCAAACACATTCATTCCACACAGCCCGATAACTTACCGGGAGGAAGATTTAACTTAAGCCCCGAATGTGGTTGGGTACTGAAAACGTGCGAGGGGGTAAAAGGGAGCGCTCTTCGTTTGCTCGGTCCAAACCGAAAATTGGGGGATTTTCTGTCTTTGGCAAATGCTGAAAGGAAAGTGAACAGCTACACAGAAAGGAAAGGGAGAGCAGATGATTAGATAGGGTACCTCGGACAAGGGATAAACCTACCGTCTGAATCAGTTGTGATTGTTGTTCATGACGTTCACGCAATTCGGCCAATTCACGATACAATAGTTGATTTTCCGATTGCACTAGAGTCAACTGATTGTTCATTGTCTCCTGATTCGAACGCAAACCGCGAATCATGGTGTACAGACGTTCCACATCCGCCACTGTTGCTGCATGAGAGGGGTGATTCAAACCGGTGAATGTGGGTGCACCCATGCCAACTCCACCTAGATAAGATGGCACGGACATGTTGGCATTGCGACCGTTGAAAATAAAACTGCCCGGTATGGAGACGTGCGGTTTTCGTTGAATTTTACTCATCAAATGAGGCTTGGATCGTACAAAGTACGGATGCTTGAATTCCATGTCTTCCAACTCGGTTTTCATACCCACATTGGGATCAACTCGATTCACTTTACGAAACCCATCTAAATATAAAACACCAAAATGACAGCTGGATGTAATACTTACACATATTAAGTTGTCTGATAAAACTGGACAAGTTATTGTGTTTGAAGAACAGCGGGAGAATTTCTTTGGCCAAACGATTACCGTCACAAATGTGAAAACTTGCACCATCCTGAAAATGGGAGTAGAACGACTTGAAGGAATTTTTACCTGGTCCCAATAGATGAGATCATTGGTTTCTCCATCATCCACCAAGAGGCGTAGTTTGGTCAGGAATGCAGGAACTGTTGGTGATGTGAAATCGGCATCGAGATTACTCATCTCAACTGAATAGATGGATCAATCATATAAGTCTGCAATTCAAAGCATGAGACAAAAGATAAGTAATATGTGAATTCATAGTTGGAATCAGCACATTTGTACGGCACGCAGATCGCATTTGACCAAAAAGCGTGGCATATGAAGGCTTATTCCAGGTTTTTTATTACATGCAATCCTGGACACGTCAGAAATCAAAAGAACAGCTTAATGATCGAGACAAAAAGCGGAAGAAGGGCGAGTGCTGGGTAGTTTCGAGGCAGTATTTATTCAGCAGATAAAAATGGATCAGCTTTACACGATCCATCGTTCAAGAAACTATTGCTGTTTGCTGATAGGTTCAGATGCTTTATGCTTAAGCTAGCATTGGTCGGCTAACTGCCAATCTGTTCACACAGATGAATCGAGGAGTCTCGAGAAAATTCAAATGGTCACGTGGCTACTTTTAGGAGCCTAAATCGATAAAGAAACGGCAAGAGAAACATAATTAAACTATAAACACCACAGTCTTATGACCTCATCAATATTACGTGTTTACTACCGTAACCTGATTATTTCAAACAGCTTTTTTATCACATTTGTGAGACAAACAGCAGACGGAGCGAACCCCATGGTCAAGAAGACCTGCTGTTTGGAGATGGTAACCGGCAATCTGAGCTCCTGGAGTGGTGAACCACATAAGGTCCCGCTAGATTATGCGTAGTATTGAACATGATGTCAGGAAATCTGCCTACCACCAAAGTTGGGTGCTGGTGGCGGGGCTCGAACCTCGAACCATAGGGTCCAAAGCCCGTCGGTGACAGCGAATAAACCACTGCGGCGTCACCACCCCACTACTTCGGCCTGCTCTACGTATGAACAGTAATAGCTGATTCTACACAGAATATCAGCTTCTGATGAACAAGTATGACAAGCAAATATTAAGACTCGATTAACGTAGGGGTAGCAAATTTTGGGTGTCCTACTACGTTGACTACAGACCGCAGCCCTCAATTTGAGTCCGCACTATTCAACTCGTTAACAGCCATGTTAATGTGTCAACGTATACGCACCACACCATAACACCCGGCCGCTAACGGCCTTGTCGAAGGTTTTCATCGGCAGCTTAAAGCTGCACTTAGTGCACATTCCGTCATTTCATGGACGGAGGCACTCCCCTCGTCCTACTTGGCATAAGAAATGCCGTCAAAGACGATCTCAAGTGTACGCCGGCCGAACTAGTATATGGAACTACACTCCGTCTTCCCGGAGAGTGTATTTTCCCACGCAAAGCTTCACTGCAAGCCTCGCCGGATTGCGTCCAACGGCTTCCTCATCACACGCGTCACGCACCCACAGCAAAAAGCAGTCTTCATACATCCAGACTTGAAGACTTGCACACACGTTTGGGTCCGCTGCGACGCAGATAGTCATCGATAGGAACGGTCACCGCGATACTATCCCCATCGACCGCACGTCGACGCAACATCTGTCACGGCAATCCCTGCCAACCCGAAGGCCACGGACACCACCACACCACGTGCGGCGAAAAGCAGGGGCCCTTGTGGTCATAGTTATGACATTCAGTTTGCGGTTTCCCCACAGACACGACCACAAGGCGGTGTCTTCAAAAGTCGGTACCTCGGCTGTCTGGTCGAAGTTTGCGTATCACCATCCTTCTAGGGGGAGGCTGGTGTAGCGGTTCTGCAGCCCACAGTTTCGCAACGGCAGTTTTCTTCTCTTGCCTCTTGTTTTTCTCCAAGTTTCCTGATAGATCCATTCAAGCTGGTCGTGATCATCAAACCACGTAACAGAAACACGCTCACCCTGCACTGATGATTAGCAGCAGGACGGGTTCAGTTTCCGACCAGTCACGCGTAATTTAGGATTATCAGGACATGGTTGCATAACCATGGCATACTTATCAGAACCATCAAGGTTCAGATATCAAGTAGCGACTTAGACTCTCGATCAGGTATCTGAACTACCGTTGTGTTTTTCCTTCTTACTTAAGGACCCTTCTCCACCAGACACAATCAAGTGTACCGTCGAGAGTTAGCATTTATCGACATTATTTGGCGATACCTATCTTCCAGGGAAAGTTTCTTTATTAGATATAGCAAACTTGGATATTCCCAGAATTAAGTTTTGCTTTAACTATTATCGTGCTTTTAATGAGCTCGAAAAGACCGACCAACACCGACACAATTCCCCAAGGTGAGCTCTGTATCGCACGCTTTCCTTGCATTAATCAGATGTACTTTCAGGTTTCCGCTGCCGTTGCTTAAATAACAGCCTAGGCCTAGCCAAACTTACTTCCAACCTTTCGGAGGTTTCAGAATATCGTTTTCTACAAACCCAATCCCTGGATCTTTCTTCATGTCATCTGCTAGCCTCCACGTGGCTTTCTCTAGCCTGCAACAGCCACTGCGAATAAGGCGCGCTGCAGTAGGCGACTGTCGGACATACGCAAAACGTGTCCTAACCAACTAAGCCTATTAAGCTAGATTCGATGAGATAGCGAGTTCTTGTTTGAAATATTCCCAAACACCCGACGATTTAATTCATGGTTACTAACCCGCTCACTCCATCCCACTTGGGCCAGACTACGTAAGCATCGATTGTTGAACACTGATAAACGACGGGTGTCTTTTAGCCGCAAATTCAAGGTCTCTCAACCGTAAAGCAGAACTGATCGTACAGTGGCGCAGTGTAAGCGACTTTTCAATTTCAGTGAAACGTCACGTCGCCGCAACGGGAACCCTAACCGGAGAATTCGACTCATAAGTCTTACAAGGCACTGAGGTGTATATCCGGGAGCGTGATCGAAGTGCCTGTGTGGTAGTTTCTAGAGACCTGTCAAGCGAGGCCTTTGGGTTTCGATGCAGCGTCATTCGCTGGTTTATTGGTAGATAATCCGCTTTTCGGGATCGGCCCTTAGCCTCATGCACCCAATGAGACAAGCGGAACGTGGACGGGACAGCACTTTATTGGCTGGGGGGCTTCCCAGCTTTGGCGGGCGGTAGCTGTTCAGTGAAGCGAGAAAAAATCTACCATGGTTGAAAGAAAGCCCCAGGTGCTCCCATTATTACGTCCATCTAACGGGCTTTTTATCTGTAAACTGTTCCTCATCGTGTTTATTTGCTGGAAAGACTTCTCCACGGGGTGAGAATGGATATTCAAAAGAAGCCAGGAGACGCCCAAGTAGCAGGCATTGTGTGACTGAGCTTCGCCTGGCCCCTACCAATTGACTTTTCAGGCATGATTGGAGCCGCGGCTGTGAGAAACCATCCTGGATAACTCGCAGGATCATGGAGGCGTGCAAGTCATCACACAACATAAAGGTGCACTTTCGTCGTAGTGGATTGATAGAATAAGGACAAAGAGGCGACTGCCCGGTGGTAAGCAGGTTGCAAGTTAAATGTGAGGGAAGGGGTGTTGACGAGATGAATGGCCTAACGTTGAACCCGATCAAGAAGAGA